ACTAAGAAATCAAACTAGAGTTTGATGATCTTAGACTCTAGATACTAGGAATAGATCTAAAGTTACATTTATAAACTACTCCCAAGACATGAATAATTACATATAAATAAGTTAAAACCTGATTAGTACAAGAGAGGGATAAAGGGTGAAATTTTATCTCAACACGTCTTTATCATTTTGAAATCAACTCTCTTATTTGAAATCTACTTTACTTCATTTTACACCAACCAAATACTATTTTATTCAAAGTCAAACACATTTTAAACATTGTGTGTTCTTCCAAATCTTGTGGATACGACACTTATTATACTACATCAACCTAGCATATTTGTTAGTAAATTGATTGCATTGGAACATCAACAAACACATAACCACCATATGCAATCAACAAGAGAGAAAAAAAATACAATGGTAACAAAACACACTCAAAGGGAGCCTTGCACAAAGACAAAACAAGGGTAAAGACCCACACATACCATCAACAAAAAGGATAATCAATGTCATCACATGGAATGAACAAAAAGAGAAAAGACAACACAATGTTAACAAAAACTAACCTTAATACAAAAATCAATTAGATAGAATGACTCCTTGGGATAAAACGAACACCGCAAGTGTCATGGGAGTGAAATGGAGTGTAAACATCATTGTTGTCGTTGTTCTATTGTAATGGGAGCCTCACATATGTAATACAAATAGTGATAATAAGTTTGTGCGCCTATTATAACTCTTTTATCTAATCTACTTTATCCTTAGAATTATTGTATTGGCACAAGCATATTCTAGTCAACTAATTGATTTATACTAGATTACCTACTGAGATAATAATTAACCGTTAATGAGGAGCATATTCACAAAATGATTTCTAAACATTTCTTCATGTGATTCTACTGTACCTATTAGCTCCAATAACATCCATAACAAAAAATATTTTTCAACTAAAACAATATAAAATACTCCAAACCAACAAGAGGATAATAGACAAAAACAAGTCAAAGAACAACATCAATCTATATACAAGAAATACGGGTGGTTAAATATTTTAACTTTACAATTACTTAAACAATACTTATTAATGAATTAATTTGTTTATCAAGTACAATATTTAACTTATTTTTTATAAATATTTTATTTTATTTCATAAATTATTGGCATTTCAACATTTTTTTCAAGTTGAATGATAGGTAGAATATATTAATTAAAGAAGTATCAGTGTACCTATCTTACCCAGAAACTTGTAATACATTTGCAATAAACATGACCTAAAATGTAGATCTTAGTATTACCTATGATAATTCTTACTTACTTACCCACGGATCTCATTTATACATAATGACCTATGGATACCATTAATATGTAATTACCTGTAAATCCATAGATAATCACGTATACCTATAGGTTATTTTGTTTGAATATATCTACGAATTTAAAAAATTGTATGTAATTGTTATTATACAACTTTTTATCTATGGTTTTTTTTTTATCGTAACTAACTAAATTTTGCTTACAAATCTTAAGTATTTTTTACGAATTTGTTAATCCTAATTTTTTTGGTAATGTGTCTAATGAAAAACTAATAATTTATCAGAATAAAAATTATTTTTATACTTTTATCATAATTAAAACATGCAAAATAGTATAACTAGTTATAAAAAGTAAAATTTAAGTATTTAATAAGCTATGCAACCATTAAAAAAAATTTAAATAAGTTTTTTTCCTCTATATATTTTGATCATTTTTTAATGTGGTCCTAGTAAATGTGGAAAATGTCAACAATGTAACTGAGAAAAAAAAGTATATCTTATATTATAACCATTTCCTTCTCTAATTTTTTTTTAAAATATTCTCTCTACATCACCACATGATCATTCATTTGTATTGATTTATTGGCGGAAAAATTATCTTCATAAATTACGCAGCTCATCTAAGTCTCATTAGATTGTTTTGAGTTTCTTTTTATTTATCTATGTTTTAACAAAAGAAAAAAAAAATATGTCTATGTATTTGTCTCTTTAATAATTTCTGACATTATAATAACTAATTAACTATCCTTTCAATCATATCCTTATCTTTGATTTGATTTTTACGTATAAAAAAACTTCACTTCACTTTTAAATTCTTTACCCCATTATCAATTAGAATCGACATTGAAGTTCTTTAACGATAGTTTGTTTAAGTTATTAGTTATCTAACAAAAAACAAAACAGGTTAATTGTATGAAAAAATAGATTAAAATTACATTAAGAAGTCAATTACCCTTTACCCTTCACTCGATTGTAAGAAATATGCATTTGCCACATATTTTCTTAATACTTTTTTAAACAGACAGTGGGTAAACTATATGTAAATAAACCTTATCTATGTAATAAAAAATATATATTTTTTAGAAAACATATTATCTCTATCAAACAAGCATAAATATTAAATTTAATTTTAGTTTGTTTCATATTTTTTTTATCTTAAATATTTCTGTCACATACACAGTATTGTTCACAGCTAATGCACTTTTGCATGGTCTCAAAGTCGGTGTAAAGTCTTCTAAGAATTAAGTATATTTTAATCTCGCCAAATAAGATAAACCTGATTTTTAGTCTCAAGTAAATTCATTATACTTTTTGTCCTTTTTCTTTTAATAATATAATAATACATATTAGAATTTTAGATTAAAAATAAAATAAATATAAATAAAATATTATTATTTTGAACCATAAAGTAAACGTTTCTTTTGTTTTATGTTACAGACAAACATCTTTTCACATCCAAAAAAAACTAAAAAGAATCAATTCATATAGACAAACATTATTCTATATTTAATCCAAATACAGATAAAGTTGACACTGCTGCAAAGTGGGATCCTATGTAATTTTTGACAAAAATATTGGAATTATATTTCCTTGTTAAGAAGTCCAAAGGCTTTAGAACATATCAATCTCAAAAAAAAGGGATTTTACTTTTACAAAAGGAGATCACCCTAAATAAATGGGTTTTCCAAAACATTAAATAATAATAATATTGATAAAAATTGATCAAATATCATGCCAATTAGATTAGAGAAGTTATGTTTATTAGAAAAGGAATATTTGTGAAAAAATATGCTTTTGATTACTTTTTAGGGTCTTTTTCTGGGCGGATCTACATGCCCTTTTGCTTGTAAGAAAAGGTAGTTACCAAAGCAACTAAACTTTTATATTTTCTTTTCCTCTTCAAATGAAAGGATGTAAGATGGAAGTTTCCACAGTGATAGAAGAGAAAGTAGATGAAGAGAAGAGTTTGGTGGTAAAAAAGAGTGTATGCTTCTTAGATGAAAGAGGGTTATGCAAACGTTGAAAGAATCACATCAACCTCTCATTAGAAGCAGCTTGAAGCACTGAATTAGTGAATCAAACTCTGAAATCTCAATTTGTGCAAAATATGGCCGTCATGTTCATGATGTGTCACATGCGGATGGAAGTGTTTTGCAGGAGTTGAAAAGAAGAGTGAAAAGGAGAATATTCAATTAAGTGAAAGTAGAAGAAGATGGACGTACAAAAGGAGAAAGGAGAGGTGGGAGGATATTGAGAGAGAAAGAGATGCTTTTATAGAGCCACCAAGTGTGCTTCTAGGGCAAACAATTTAGGTTAAGGGCAGCGGCAGCGGTCAGCGGGCAACGGGCAACGGGCAGGTTTGTGTTCAGAAGGGGTAAGTTTCAAGACAGTGAACATGGAAAACAGGTTTCATACGGGAAATAGTAGAAAAAGGGAGATTTATGTATTACCAACCTTTTCAAATAATATGTTTTATTGATTGATATTTTTTTTTGTCATATATTTGTATGATTTTTCAATATCATTTTTTTAAATGTAAATTATTATCAATTATTAATTATTAAAATATGAGTTGTCAATCTAATTGAAATATCATATTTTTATACTTCGAATAAAATAAAATATTAAAAATATTTGCAGGTGATGCTATAATAAGAGATTTAACAATAAATATGTGGATTTCACGAGATCTTTTTATTATTAAACAATAAAAAATTTCCAGAAGTAAAAGCTTTTCCCAATGTTCCATTTTCTAACAGATATTGTAGCAGTGTGAACCAGGGTTTGGAGAAGCGAATTCACGCCACATTTTTTTACTTTTTTTTTAATTTACTTTTAAAAAGGTAAATTGTACTTTCTTGTAACTATTTAAGTTTTAGTTATCAAATAAATATTTTAATAATTATATTAAAATTATTTAATCTTCTTTAGATTCATATTAATTAAATATTTAATAGCATTTATTATATTATTTATTTATTGCTTACAGTTTTAACTACAATAAATTAAGAAAAAATACTTACTAATTGAATAATTAGTAAAATTAATACTATTAATTAACTTCAGTAGTTTACTTATTTTATTATTCAATAACTAAATAGTTAGCAATTATAATTTAATTATTAATCGTGAATTTTTATTAATTAAATAATTAGAAAATTAACATCATTTATTAACTAATAGTAAAATTATTACAATTTAATAATTTAATGTTTAAAAGCTTAAATAGAATAAGTTTACTAAATTGCCTATTTAATTTTAAAAATATTCTTAAAAATTGAACAAACAGAAAATATCCGGTAAGTCATTTGCCTTTTTATTGTTGAATAAACAAATCATTTCGCGATGTTACATTATGGTGTTTATTAGAAAACAAATACTACAAACAACATAGTTTTAATAATAGTTTGTTCTCTTGCATTTTTAGAAAATTTATTGCACTGATTCAAATTTATTAAAATAATTAATTTTGAAAAATTAATGTCATTTAATGACTCAGTTTTGATTTGATACATAATTAATATTTCTTACTTTAGATGATGAGTCAGTTTATATCTTTACCATTGTAAGGCCTGAGAGTCATTTATATCTTAACTATTATGTAAGAGGGTAGATGGTTTTTTAACTATTTTTGTGTTATTTTCTAATTATACAAATAAAATAAGTAATTTCCCAATAATGAATCCAAAAAATGAGTGAAAAGAAAAGATGAATGGGTTATATTTAAAGTTTGAAAAGTACTTTACAAGAGGTGGAAGTGAAGTTCCGATTGCTGTGGCTCACTTGCATGTACATGTACATGATACAGGAATAGGAAGCCTGAAAAACAAAGACTCAGACCCTATCATCCTTTTCAATTCTTCAAAACCTAGTGAGCCCCAGACTTCAAGAAGGATTAGCCTATACATACAACATTTCTACAAACCAAGAGTTAAAGAAAAAGTTACACCTGCACAACTACTCTTCTTTCACGTCCAGGTCCTTTGCTTCTGCCAAAAGTCGTTTATACTCATCTTGGGCTTTTTGTATTTTACTTTTAAGATTCGCCACCTGTACAACCATAACCATAACCATTCTCTCAATATGCACCAGATTATCTAATTTTAACAAACATACAAATCTTTAACCACACTTTTTCAATACCGAATTATGCTTATATTTTCTTTTCTTTTGTTTTACTTTTAGATGGGGATGGTCCAAGAAAAATACTTTTGTACGTCTGGCTTTAAAAGATTAGAAAAAGCCAGAAAGAAAAAAGAACGCGCTCTCTAGTTATTATGCCAATGCAATTACACCAAACTTATGACTAACAGAACACTACGATTTCATTCTTTGTGAATAAAGTTGTTCAATATGAATTTAGGCAACAAGAATATGCAAAGTAATTTCACCAAACTTCATTATTTTGTAAAAATTACCTTGAGATTAAGTTCTTCTCCCGTCTTTTCAAATTCTAGACATCTGCAGGGAAAAGATGGAGGCCATAGCTAAGTTTGGCAAATATTTGTAGAATCAAAATGAATATCATTGCACATAGTTTCTGTTTGCCAGCGAAGTGAGCAACATTTGAAACCGATCCAACTTGCTGAATAGTATTTCATAAAAACAAAACACATCAAAGTCACTGCAATTAAAAATATACTCACTTCGCACGCAGTTTCTCATTTTGTTGAATTAAATGTAAATTCTTCTGGTCTTCCACTGGGCCGGCTGGAGTTGCAGTGGTCTACACAAAATGTAAGGGTAAAGTTGGCATAAAAAAACTTTTCAAATATTTATAGTGGCAGAGTCTGATGTCCAAAGAAATCAAGTAAATAACTACAATGAATAAATGAGGAGTTTCTCCAAAACACTAGATACAATAAGTAACCATGAGACTCCAGTTCAATCATCAATATACGACAAGCCAACGAGCGCCCCTTAAGTTAGGAATACTAGAGGGTCTCCACACATCATTATGTATTAATGCAAAGGGAACAACTATTCTTTTATTACTAGGGAAAAAATCAACACGCTTGTACTTTCCCAAGTATCACAATGAAAGATTTTTTACGTCAATTTTTTGAAATAAATTAAGAAACATTTCTGACAGCAAACAGAAATTTTGACTTTAAGTGCTACGCATTCTGTTAGCATCCTCTAGAAGGTAGAGCCCATTGTCTTCTTTAGCAAGTCCAATCATCTTTACTTGTTCTCCAATCCAGAAATTGGCAGGTTGTAGGACTAAAAAACACTAAACAGTGTAAATCCATTGTAAGCTAGTGAATAGAAATCAAATTGAAAAATAATTTGGGCACATGCAAAACATCCTTCAAAATTAGATTTTGGTTTATCATAACATCTCCTTTTCTAACCATTGTATCGAAAGTTCCATCTGCAAGTGCAATTTCTTTGTTGCTTGGACAAGGTCTATAAGATATAAACCTAGTAGATGATTGAGTCAAGTGGGATATGGCTCCAGAATCAACTACCCAAACACCTTTAGAGGAATTTAAGGCATGGTGTGCATAGGAGTAAGAAATATTTCCTACAAAAGCTAAGGAGCAATTACTTGCATCTACAGGCTTTGTTAATGCGTCCAACAACCCCTTTAATTTCATAATCTCCTGTGTTGAACTCTGGTGGCCCATGAAGGATTGCCTAGTTGGGCCACAAGGACTTTATTATGTATTCCACATTGATTTCCTTTAGGTGTCCATTTCCAGTTTGGATTTGGAGGCTCCATGAAGTTTCCATCACTTGTCTTAAGTGCACAGTGTCTTCTTACAATAGGTACAACAAAAGAAATCTATTATCTCCTTTAGGAATAACTATTCCTCCTACTTCATTTCCAGACTGATGAAGTGATCTGCCCTTGTCCAATTTTCTTCCCCTTGTTTTGTAAAAGAAAGGCTGAACTTTCAATTGACGGGGATTCTAACATTACTACTCTATGGGCTTCTTCTGCCCAAAATACAATCATCGTTTCATTGAGTGAGGATAGGTCCTTCCCTGGCACTTGAATTCTATCAGGATTAAACTCATTATTTAATCATGTCAAGAACCTGTAGATCCCGTCCTTGTCCTTGTAGTATTTGAGGAGGTGCAATATCTTCATTACATTTCGCTTCAAATTGCTCACAATGGTCGAACTACTGCCACAAAATTTGTAGTGTATGGGCATACTAACTAAATGACTAGGTATTTCCCTTCGTTTTGCATTAGAGATTCTCATCTTAATCTCAGATTTGGGCAGCATCACCAACTTTGGAATAATTTGCTTTACAGCTATTTCATACCTCCTTGGTTGTCTTCATAAAAATTTAAGCATCAATCACCTCTAGTGTCATGGCATTCCACAATCATGATAGTACAACCACATCTGCCTTGTCCATGTTGCAAATTTGGGATCGAAAGATTAGACGTTAGGTAGTGAGATGACTTGATTTTCCCATCCCTTTTGAAATTTGGACGAAGTGAGACCATTTTAGGTAAATTTTCCGATTAAGCCTAAGGCTCGGATGAATATTCTACAGTTCAACATTACTCATATCGAATATTTTTAAGGTTTGAAGTATGACAATGCAGGCTTAGAAGGAATACAATGGAATAAAGAAAGGGTTTGCTAGAACTAGACGATACAACATACCCTGTTAGATGAAACAAAGTACCTGCAAATAAGTATTTGAAACCGAATCTTGACACTCAGCATGAAAATTGAGAGACTCAAGAATTGCTCCTCACAAAAGAAAGTCTTGGTAAAGACCTATACAGACTAAAATAATGATATACAAAAATGATCTTATTTCTCAAAATTCTGCTCTCAGAAAACTTCTATTTCAATCTAATTTAAGCGGGGAATCTTGGACCTTATAATCAAAATTCAAGAAAATCTCATGATAAAACAAGGATGAGATATGAAAAAGAAAATGTTTTCAAACCCAAACAAGACCAACTACAGCATAGTTCATCTGTTGCTGTATCGTATAGTGGTTCCTTGAAAAAGAAATTACATTGGAAGACATTCCCAAAGGACCAAGAAAAGTATGGGTACCTAAATAAAATAGTTTCTCTTGTAAACATTTTCGACCCAGCAAAGAAGACACGTGTCTTGGTTACCTAGAGAGTGGCTATTCCCGTCACATGATAGGAGAAAGGTCTATATTCCAAAACCTCAAGATGAAGAGAGAAGGAAAGGTAATTTTTGGAGGAGACCACAATGGAAGGATAAATAGTATATTGGTTAGGTAAGTCTGAGACCTTCATTCCATATTAATAAAGTTCTTTTAGTTGCTGGTCTGAAACATAACCTACTTAGCATAAGCCAATTATGTGACAGTGGGTATAGTGTTTTGTTTAACATAGACTAATGCATAGTCAACAACAATGATGGAACCAAATTATTTACTTCCCATAGACAAGAAAATCTTTACAAAATTGATATGGAAGAGTTATTAGCTCAAAAGATTTCTTGTCTCGTGACAATCAAAGAAGACCATTGGCTATGGCATAGAAAATGTGGACATGCAAACTTGAGATTACTCTCAAAATTGCAAAAACAGCCTCATAAGGGGTTTCCCAATGATGCCATTCAAAGACAATTTTCTTTGAGTGATGCATTAAAAAAAAACATATTAAAAGTTCTTTAAAAAATGTAAATGATATTTTTACCCAAAGACCTCTTGAACTATACACATCCACCATTTTGGACCAACAAGAATGGAGTCTATTAGTGGTAAGAGATAAGACTTAGTCATTCTAGACAATTATACTAAATGAATGAGTTAAATTCCTAAGTCACAAGGATGAGTCTTTTAAAATCTTTTGTGAATTCATAAAACAAGTCCAAAACAAAAAAAGGCTTATAAATTATGTTCAAAGTTAAAATGGGATGAATTTGAAAATGAACATTTTCAAGCTCTTTTTGAAAACCCTGGTATTAAGCATGACTTTTCTACTCCCAGAACAATTGTGGTGTGATTGAGAGGAAGAATCGTGCTTTCCAAGGGATGGCTTGAACTGTGTTAAATGCTAACTCCACCTTTAAGCACTTATGGGAAAAACCAATTAGACCTTTAATCAAGAAAACTCCCTATGAATTGTGGAAGGATAGGAAACCCAACATATCTTATTTCCATCATTTTGGGATTCAGTGTTTCATTCTGAACACAAAAAACAGTTTGGGGAAGTTTGATTCCAGAAGAGATGAAGGAATCTTGCTAGGGTATTCTAAAACATCTAAGGCTTATAGAGTATAGAACTATAGAACAATTGTGGTGGAAGAAGAAATTCATGTGAGATTCAAAGACCACAAGCCAGATAAGAAATTATCAAAGCTAGAAAAATATCCTTGATTTGATATGCATGTACATCCACCAAGAACATCAGAACAATTATTAGACAATACAATGCAAGCACCAGATGATTCATCGAACAAAGTAAAAAAGATAAAAGAACCCACAAGAAGAAATTCAACTCTTATTAAGAATAATCTAGTTGATGTCATAATTGGGAATCTCAAGAAAGGATGACACAAAAAGCAAGGATTATGGAGCAAACAGCTTTGATATGTCAAATTGAGTTTTGAGTACTCATTGATACCTAGAGAGGTTTATACTCATGTAACATGGAGAGTTGTGTATTCATTGTAACCTAGAGAACATTATGTAGTCATTGTAATAAATTGTATTTGATTAGTAAACCTCTTAACCTTAAGGGAGAATTGGCCATAGCCTGTGAATTTAGGTGAACTACCCCCCATCCCCTTCTAGAGCCTAGCTGTTCTAAGAGGGTTGTGTTGCTGCAGCAGTGTATGTTGTGCAGGTGGCTACATCAGAAAAAGGGATGTGGTTTTGCAACAATGCAAGTTGCCCAAGAGATCCCACAGGCTCCCAAGGATTTAAGAGTGTTATAATTTAGGGTAGAATTTTCATCTTATTATGCTGAGAATACAATCTATATATACAAGACTAGAAAGCTATTTAAGGAAGTATAATAATAGCTCCTAGACTACCAAATCCCTATGATTCAGGGATATCCCCATCATATAGGGTAATTATAATTTGCTAAATAAGGAAACAATAAAACATAAATCCTAACAGAAACAATACAACGAATAAAACAAATTCTAACACTTCCCCTTAGGTTAGTGAATAGGTATTTTCCATTCCCTACTTGGAAACAATACTCTCAAAATTGTTGTTGTTCAGTCCCTTCGTTAGAATATATGCAAGGTTGTCTTGTGAGAAGATATAAGGAGTGCAGATCAAACCACTATCTAACTTTTCTATAATAAAATGTATATCAATCTCAATATGTTTTGTTCTATCATGTTGCACTGACATAATGTTGCACTGACATAACGACAGGAAAAAATGTAGCTAAGGTGTATCAATAATGGAAACAAATTTGACAATTACCATGGTTGAGTTACCCTACATATTCCCTTAGTAAATTAGAAATGATACCATTGAAAATATGCTACTAAATGATATTCACTAACAAATTTCAACATAATGATGAAGCAAATGCCGACCTGTTTATTCTGATTAAACTCAACACTGGTTACAATATCTGTCCTCGCAAGCTTTTGTGTATCCAGAAGGTTTACCTGTTCATGTGTGTGCTTCCTCTTATTCTGAGAACCTGAATGAAGAAACATTAGCTAGATAAAGTTGGTTAAGCTAATGTTATAAGGTTTTATTCCTCAGAAAAGCAGTTACCTTGGTCCAATCTTTGCAGACTTTTGGAACACTGAAAGGAATTCCCGTATGCTTCTGCATTGAAAAGAGAGGACGAACGTTTGTTCAATACAACTGGTTTTTCTACAACCACTGGTTTTTGCATTGATGTAATCCCAGGTTTAATCTTCCTCTTTTCTTTGTATCCAAACAATGTACAATGTGTATCCCTGCAGAATTTTAAATAGAATACTAGACATGTCAGATATTAATGCTAAACTAAACTACAATTACGCTAACAGAAGGCTCTTCATTTGTTGTTCAGTCTCTAATTCCTATTTAAATATAAATTTTGTTATTAGCCCAGAGAAATTGAGTCTACAAAACAAAGTAACAATAACAAACATGCTTTTGATTTCCTAAAAGTACTAAACAATTAAAAAAAAAAATACAAAGCAGGAATCCTAAGCCTGGGAGACCAGGGTTGGCAGGGTAGGTTGTGGTTTGAACAACATAACTCTGCATGGCATATTTTATGGTTTCAACCCATTTTGTCACTCCTAGCAAAGAGGTAGTTTCCGAATTCAAACAACCAACCAGTGCCAAGGTGCAACTTTACTTTTGCACCAGGACTCGCCCTCTTAGATATTAATTCTTAAATACTTTAAAAAATATTTAAACATACATGTGTATTGGTTGGCACACAACTTAAATTACACAAACCAAACGCTTGGAATGGTCCAAAGTAGAGCAGGACAAGTAAGACTAGAGATCACTACAAAACACTATACCAGTATTCCCATGTCATCTGCTTCAATCGCACTTCAAGCTTTTGAAACAAGGAAGTTCTCTCAAAATCTTGTTTGTTATGTGTTGGCTCAATAAAATCTGCCTGCAGGATACCTGAAATTACCAGAGATTAATTAACATAGTAAGGAACCCATATACTGCAGATGCAGTACGTCTCTAAACATTAGATAAAATTGAAAGTGAGTAGTAAAATATTACTCACCAACAACTCCTCTACCTCTACTGTCTAAATAGCTTACAACCTGCCAAAATGGCTAGTAAAGGGTAACAACAGTATTAGAGAGTAAAAATAGAATACAAAATGATAAATCCATGTTAAAGCAAAATAAACAGAATGAGTTAAAATGTCTAATACTATTATTTTACAATATTTTTAGCAGAATGTATTCAAAATGAGAAAAGGGGAAACTATGAATATAATAGGATATAATGTGAGGAAACAGATTAAGAGGTAGTTGTGAGTTAGGTTGTTAGGGTGAGTGAGGTTTCCTTTATATAGTTGGGGGGTCCTGGTATGCAGGGGACTTTTGGGGGATAATTTTGTAGATTGAGCTTTAGCTCTTTGTGAAGGGGAAACCCTTGGAGAAGAGAGTGCTCTCCTATTTTTGTGTTCTTTTCAGTCTATACAATAAAGAATATTAATCTTCTTTCTCTTTTCAATTCTGGGTTCCTAACAAAATTGATCCAGGAATCCTTTGGAAAAGTAAAACATATGACGATGCCAAGAATAGCCTTCTCCCACTAAGTGAGATTGGCATCCTTCATGGGCTCTCTATACATTTATATAAGTATATTGCCTCCAGAAACTCCATACTAGTGTCTGCCTACACTCTAGTAACCTTTTCTTCATGTGTCCAAACTAACTTAACTGATTTTGATATCTTTTTTCTCGATAGATATTATTATATCATAATATTTGTATCCTTACCCTTTCTTGTATAGCCACACATTCTTTTAACAAATTCATTTGCTAATACTACATTTTTCTCTTGTGCCTTTAAATTTAAACCAAACATTAACTAGCAAAATTTAGCTTTGACAGACACGGCACAATCTTCCATTTACTTTTGTGTTCACGAGTCTATTCCATCAGAGGCATTGTGTCCCTCCAACATACAGATTTCTTTGCTCAGCACTTGCTGGCCCTTCTTCCCTTTAAGCTCCCTTGCCAGTGTTCTTGACACTGATTCTCTCTCATTCCAGCTTAACTATGGCTAATTCACACTCTCATACACCAGGTTCCACATATTGCCACCACAAGCCAAAAAGTTGAAAATCCATATCCTTCCAAGTGATCATGAAAACCTTCGCTAAGAAACCAAAGCTCAACAAATGTAGACCAAGAAAAGGAGGAGACATGTCTAGAGGCCATTTTAGATCAGAAACAAAGAACGCAAGGGTAAAAAGGGAAACCCTGAAGGTCTCCAAGAGAGACTAAAAAGAAAAAAAAATGGTTGGAACAGAAACTACAGAGGCCAACAACAGTAGCATGTGACCTACACGAACCTAGCTTAGCTGCAGGGGTTGTGTGTGGCAGCACCTAATGATGAATCTACCTTTGATACCGATTAGGTTCTCCAACGCTTGAAGATGCAATGCAAATTTAGTGCTCTCAAATGAGAACTGTAGTGGATGATTGATAGTGACAATGGATACATGGTTTTTCATCACTCATTGAGACATCCAAGTGCTTGTCAGAGAGATAAGGTGACAATGGTTAGCCATGAACTCAACAAACAATGACTAATCGACAAACAGTGGAATCAACTTGCTCTGTATAAATATTAAAAACAGATAAGTGGATCTATTTTAATGCCTTGAATTTGTTTAGAAGAGCTTAAAAAACTCCTCTTATGATCTTCTATTTATAACGATGAGAAAGTGATACAACGAGAACATGAAAGATCAAACGACTACACCAGACTTCCTAGGTCAGAACTAGGTACAACTCATGGGTTGCACTAGACTCATAGGTATAGTTAGAAGTAGTACCCAACAAACTACTCCCAACTTTAGGGTTAATAATTACTCTAACATACATAGATTTAATAATTATTGCAACATGAAACATAAAAATTTACCCAATCAATACTAAAGTTTATAAAGAATTTACCAATTAATCAATCACAAACATATATAAGCATACACACTTAATATATATTAGAATATTTTAGGTTAAAATTACCAGGATAAGCCGATTTTTGTGATATACATTAAAACCGTGGATATTGACTTGAGGAGCTTCCTTAAGAAACCCGATTGTTGTGACTGTCAAAGTTGTTCCCTACAAAAATAATCCAAATAACAATACTTAAACAAAGTATAAAGAAATACAATTAGTACAAGATTTTTTGTCAAACTATGCTTGTTGGGTGTGCTTTCCACATACATCCTAGTGAAGACGCTTAACTAAGGATTTGTCAAACAAATCATGATTGAGAAAGGCATTACATAATTCATTTTTCTTAAGAGACCATTGACATGTAACATGGGTGAAATTAAACAAACATGTTTGGTGACTAGAGAAAAAGTTGCATTGTAGCCATTACCAAATTGTTGATAAAATCCCTTAACCACAAAAACCCATAGATTCTCTTTGACTTGAAAAACTATTTGCATCCAATGAATTTGTAATCTTATCAAAGAGAAATGAAGGACCAAGTATCATAGAGTGGAGCACTAATCTTAAACATCAAGGTTTCAATCCTAGTAGGATTGAGAGAGTTCTTGTTTATATAGATTATGACTGCATACTAATGAAAAGAGTAGGGTGAATTATCAGAAGTATTATGCCATACTTGGAATGACTTTGCATTGGGTGTGTTTGCATTGGTGTGTTTGAGTGGTTTGTGTTGGAAGATGATGGGGATGGCCTTAGTTGTGGATTAATGCCTTGAGATGTTTTGACACAGGAGGACTCATGAATGATACCTTCTTTTTGACAAAAGGAAATAAGTCCATGATTAAAGTAACTTTTGGATTATCATGATCCTCTTAATGCTAACACCAAACTGATTTTTTATCATGGAGAAAAAACTTTGAACCACATAGCTGACTTTGGAGTTTTGTTTTAGTAAGAAAACCCATGGGATACAAGTACACTATCTATAAGGTAAGAAACCAACCGACACCAGAAATATTTGGGACCATTGAGGGACCCAACACGTTAGTATAAATTAAATCGAAGGAAAAAGTGCTTGTATTATTACTAACTAAAAAAGGAACACATTTGAGCTTAGGAAGCTCACACATTTCACAATTGAGACTTGCAACATCTAACTTGCTAAAAAGGGAAGGGAATAACGATTTTATGACCCTAAAGGAACCATGTCCAAGGCAACAGTAATGTAGAAAGACCTTATTCTTGTTGATCTTTATTGAATCAAAGAAAAAAGAGGTGTTGTTTTCCAATTCTAGAGGCAAATTTGGATGGTCCAAGTAATACAAGCTATTCCATTCTCTAACATGTCCAATCGTTTTCAATTGAGACTTGCAACATCTTGCTAAGAAGGGAAGGGAATAATGATTTTATGACCCTAAGGCCTTGTTCACTTGAGTGGATTTGAGGAAGAGTAATTGAAGGGATTTGAGAGAATTTGAAAATAAATGTTTTTGTTGATTATTTGAGTGAATTTGGAGGTAAATGAGATTGGATTTGGAAGTAAATTTTTTTAATCTGTCACGTCAATCAAATCCTAGACTAATTCTCACAAACTTTACTTCCAAATTCATTCTCACTTACCTCCAAATTAACTCAAATAAACAACAAAAAAAATTTATTTTCAAATCCTCTCAAATCCCCTCAATTACTCTCCCTCAAATCCACTCAAGTGAACAAGGCCTAAAGGATGGATGTCCAAGGCAACAGTGATGTAGAAAGCCCTTATTCTTGTTGATCTTTATTGAATCAAAGAAAAAAGAGGTGTTGTTTTCCAATTCTAGAGGCAAATTTGGATGGTCCAAGTAATACAAGCTATTACATTCTTTAACATGTCCAATCATCCTCCCTGTGTTCTATAGAATACAAACATTGTCATAAAAAATAGCATTACTTGATAGATCTTGTATGAGTTTTTTTATGAAAATCAAATTGACAGACAATTTAGGAATATGATGGACATTTTTAAGGTTACGGATGGGCTTATTTGGACTTCTCCTTTATCTATTGTAGTCACCAAAGAACATCAGTTGTGGATATTTTCTTGTTGCTAGGGCAAGGGGTGTAAGTTGAGAAATGTCTAGGTAAGGGTGTCATGTGGTCAATAGCACCAGAATCTATTATCCAATATGGGTTATGGTTTTTATCTGAGACACTAAGTCCAAAAGAAGAAAACCCACCAAGCATACCTAAGTGTGCCAGAGAACAACTACCTGGTGACTTATCCATCTTTTTGAGGAATGACCTCATTTGTTGTACTTCATACAGGTTAAGTTGAATAACTCCTCTTTTGTTTTCTTCATCTGTTGCAGAACCTATGTGTACTTGTCCTCCCTTTCTAGTGTTGTCTCCTTTTATCCCCACTTCTTGTCACGATTATGGGATCCCCAATAAATACTAGGTGGCTCCTTTTTTCCGTGGCTGGGGTTTCCGACATTATTCCCCCTTCTGCTTTCTTCACTTTTGACCATAGCCACTAATTCATTTATTCTTGGAATTTTATCTTTACCAAGAATCTAGACTCTCGCTGTGTTAGGATATTTATCCTATTTTATCATCATTATAGTGTGTCAAGGGTTACCTTATTTATCATGATTATATTGTGTCTAAGATTACCCTATTTATCATGATTGTGTTTAGGGTTATCCTATTTATCATGTACTTGTGTATCAATTTATTCTTATAAATAGAAGATTGTGAGAGGGATCAATGAAGGCCCTCTAGAATTATTTTACAGTTTCAATCTTAAGTTGGTATCAGAGCGGAACCCGCTCTGGTTTCTGTCTCGTAATATATATCTGTCCGGCGCCACAGTTCTTCGTCGCCAGCCACTGTCCGCCGCTGCCCGCCGCCGGCCACCGGCCACCAGCCACCGCCGGCCACTGTTTCCGGCCACCGTCGTCCATCACTATCATAGTTTTCTTTGTCTAAACACTTAGGGTTTTCTTGTTCCTCGCTAGTACTATTCGTCTTCTTCAGAAATGGCGTCTGGCAGTACTCTTTCCTTCTCCGGAAGTCCATCAATTACCTCCGAGAAGCTAAATGGAAAAAATTATCTATCATGGTCTGCTGTCGTTGAAATGTGGTTCCTTGGCCAAGGGCATTATGACCACCTGGAGCGAGATGGAAGCCATGTGCCTACTGAAAAAGCTGATCAGTGGAAACAAGCAGATTTCCAGTTGTGTGCCCTGTTATGGCAATCAGTGGAACCCAAACTTCTTGTATCTTTGAGGGCTTTCAAAACTTGTCACTCCTTTTGGAAGAAAGCCCAAAGCATTTATGCCAACGATATTCAACGTCTCTATGACACTACGAACAAGCTTGCATCTCTTAAAATGGCAGACCATGATATGGTGTCCTTCATGGCTGAAGCCCAATCTGCTGTCGAAGAACTTAGGATGTTTTTGGAAGTAGATCCATTAGAGGATATCAAAAAGAAACTAGACAAATTTTACATGGTGTTGATCCTTCGTGCCCTACATCCCGATTTTGATCATCTCAGAGATCAACTTCTAACTAGTCATGAGGTTCCCTCTATGGAAACATTGACCACTCGCCTTCTGCGTGTCCCGATATCTCAAACTCAAGAAGCGCATGAACTAGTGGAACCATCTGTCATGGTTGCCACACGAGGAAGAGGAGGACGTGGCACTAGAGGAGGAGGACGAGGAGGTCGGGGACGTACTCAATGCACATATTGTAAAAGGATGGGTCATACTCAAGAGAATTGCTACTCCTTACATGGTTTCCCTTCCAAAACCGCCAATATTTCGAAGACTGAAACTTCCACTTCGAAAACTGAAACCTCCACTTCTATGTTTTCTGAGGATGAATATCAAGAGTATTTAAGGTTAAAGTCTAACAGCTTGGCACAACCATCTCAATCTCCCAATACATCAACAGCCTGCGTTTCTCAATCTATGGAATGTCAAAATTCATGGGTAATTGACTCAGGTGCTTCTGATCACATTTCTGGTAATACCTCTTTGTTCTCATCTATTTCCTTTCGAGAAAAACCTCATTTCATAACCCTTGCAAATGGATCTAAAACTTCTTCCAAAGGAGTCGGTCATGTTTCTTTGTCTCCCTCCCTCAATCTCAACTCAGTCCTTTTTGTCCCTAATTGTCCTTTTAATTTAATTTCCTTAAGCCAGTTGACTAAAATGTTAAATTGTTCAATAACCTTTGATCATAAATCTTTTGTTATACAGGAGCGTGGTTCGGGGAGACAGATTGGAGAAGGATATGAAGCTGGCGGATTATACCATTTTGGATCTCGTCCAAGGGTGTCTTGTGTTGCTGCTCCTAATCCTAAAGTGCTACATGATCGACTTGGCCATCCTCATTTGTCCAAATTAAAAAAGATGTGTCCTGAACTTAGTGGTCTCCAAACTTTAGAATGTGAGTCATGTCAATTAGGAAAACATGTTAGATCTTCCTTTCCTAAAAGGTCTCAATCAATATGTAATTCTAGTTTTTCCATCATCCATTCTGATATATGGGGACCTAGTCGTATCTCCTCCTTTGGTTTTAGATATTTTGTTACCTTTATTGATGAATATTCAAGATGTACTTGGGTTTATCTTATGAAAAATCGTTCTGAATTGTTAGTTATCTTTACATCCTTTTTGAATGAAATCAAGAATCAATTTGGTCAAGTAATCAAAATATTAAGAACTGATAATGCAAAAGAGTATTTCTCATCCTCCTTTTCTGCCATCTTGAGTTCCCATGGTATCTTACATCAGTCTACTTGTCCTCATACACCACAACAAAATGGTATAGCAGAACGAAAAAATAGACACTTGGTTGAAACTGCTCGTACCCTTTTGCTTGGTGCCCATATTCCTGTCCATCACTGGGGGGATGCCATCTTAACTTCATGTTATCTTATTAATAGGATGCCCTCCTCCTCTCTTGATAATAAAGTCCCTTTCTCCATTTTGTTTCCTAATGATCCTCTCTTTCATACATCTCCCCGAGTGTTTGGCTGTGTATGTTTTGTTCATGACATGTCTCCAGGTCTAGACAAACTCTCCGCTCGCGCTCTCAAATGTGTCTTCTTAGGCTATTCTCGACTTCAAAAAGGATATCGGTGTTACTCTCCTGAAACTAAGAAGTATTACATGTCTGCCAATGTCACATTCTTTGAACAGACTCCTTACTTCTCTCCATCTGTTCAGGATGTTTCTATCCTCCAGCAAGTCCTTCCTATTCCAATGGCTGAGTCAAATAGCTCCACTGTCTCTGTCATTCCAAGTCTTGATCACAATCCTTCTACACCTGTTTCTCCACATACTGAGATCATCCCACACAGGGCCTCAATGGATAGTCCACCTCCCCAAGACAATGGTGAATCTCCTACTTCAGATTCTTCTCCCTCGTCACCTCCTCCCACGCCTCCTGGTGCAAATGATTCAGCATGGCCTATTGCCCTCAGAAAAGGTACTCGTTCCACTCGGAACCCTCATCCCATTTATAATTTTCTAAGCTATCATCGATTGTCGCCCTCCTATTTTTCTCTTTTATCCTCAGTGTCCTCTGTTGTTATACCCAAGAATGTGAAAGAAGCACTTGATCATCCTGGATGGCGACAAGCTATGATTGCAGAAATGCAGGCTCTTGACCACAGTAATACTTGGGAGCTGGTGCCCCTTCCCCCAGGAAAAAAGGCGGTTGGTTGTCGATGGGTGTATGCAGTTAAAGTTGGCCCTGATGGTGAAATTGATCGGCTCAAAGCTCGGCTTGTTGCAAAAGGTTACACTCAGGTTTATGGTCTTGATTATTGTGACACTTTCTCTCCTGTAGCCAAGATGACTACTATTCGTCTCTTCTTTGCCATGGCAGCCATTCGTCACTGGCCACTTCATCAATTGGATATCAAGAATGCCTTCCTACATGGTGATCTTGAGGAAGAAGTTTATATGGAGCAACCTCCTGGGTTTGTTGCTCAGGGGGAGTCTGGTATGGTATGCAAATTGCATCGATCTCTATATGGCCTCAAGCAATCCCCACGTGCTTGGTTTGGAAAGTTTAGCTCCATTGTTCAAAAATTTGGGCTAAAACGCAGTGAAGCAGACCATTCAGTTTTTTATTGTCATTCTTCTCTCGGGAAATGTGTTTACTTAATAGTATATGTTGATGATATTGTCATTACAGGAAATGATGCTGTTGGAATATCTCAACTAAAAGAGTACTTGTGTAGACATTTTCAAACCAAGGATCTTGGAAGTCTCAAATACTTCTTAGGCATTGAAGTAGCGCAATCAAAAGATGGAGTTGTAATCTCCCAAAGGAAGTATGCTCTTGATATATTACAAGAAACAGGCATGATTGATTGTAGACCGGTAGACAGTCCCATGGACCCAAACCAGAAATTAAGGACAGAAGAAGGTGAATTATTCTCCGATCCAGAGAGGTATAGGAGGCTGGTTGGAAAACTGATTTATCTCACTATTACAAGGCCAGATCTATCCTTTGCAATTGGAGTGGTTAGTCAGTTCATGCAGGCTCCATGTGTTGACCATTGGAATGCTCTCATTCGCATTCTAAGGTATGTAAAGAAGGCTACCAGGCAAGGATTGTTATATGAAGATAAAAGAAGCATTCAGGTCTCTGGGTATTGTGATGCAGATTGGGCAGGTTCACCTATTGATAGACGGTCTACTACAGGATATTGTGTTTTTCTGGGAGGAAACATTATTTCATGGAAAAGTATGAAACATAATGTAGTAGCTCGATCAACTGCGGAAGCCGAGTATAGGGTAATGGCATCATTAACATGTGAACTTATATGGGTGAAACAATTCCTTCAAGAGTTTAAATTTTGTGACATCCATACTATGAAGATGTATTGCGACAATCAAGCTGCTCTCCACATTGTAACTAACAAAGTTTAGGTAAGCTAATAAACAATAACAAATTAAGATTTTTAACTGATCCTAAACAAAAAAGGAGATATAGTCAAGTAATGTATACACTCAAATACGTATAATTAAAAATATTCTGAAAGTTAGGCAATAACCGTTGCAGATCCGTCAATAAGTGGTGCATATTTAACAAATTGAGGATATTTAAGATCATCAGCAATGTTGTGCAGCTTCACAACTTGCCCTCGCAACATAATTTGAAAACGTGCTGGGATCTTCAAGTACAATATGGACAAATATACCTGGGCAACATGAGAATATTAGACTCAAGAAAATTCAACCTTAAATTTCCACTACACCATAATTTGCTATATCAAGCATACACGTAATGAGTAACGAAACTGATTAGCGATGTGATTCTCATTTATACTCTTCCAGGCTTTAAGTGTATCAATACGCTTGATATCCCCTGCAATACGAATATCCTGCGTATAAGAATTACCCCTCATTAGCAACAAAGCAAGATTATAAAAACTGAAAAAAGCAAGAAAAAATAAAACCAATAAAATAACAAATACAACCTTAGAATCTGTATCGAAGTCTAGCTCCAAACTCCCATCATCATTGCACCACAAATTGTAGATAATAACTTTAGTACCATGAGGTCCAATGTCATCAAACTACAAGAGAGATGAAATTTTCTAGTCAAAATAAGCTACTAATACATGAAGATAGCAACCAATATCATGAAACAAATTAGTACATTATTGTCGTAAATATCATGTGATGTGTTAAACAAATGGAAATAGGAACATTTAATATTTATTATCCTTCCAGTAGTTCAGTTAATGAATAGCATACTTCAATGTAGCTTAGGGAGTTGTGTTGTTTTAACTGTTCCCTTAAAACTAACTAGTAATTGGTATTTAGCATCTTCGTGATCATTCTTGTTACAAAGAAATCCATTTGTTGAGTGGTAAATATACTCCAACACATTCAAATAATTTTCTTTCACTTTGACTAATATTTTGGATATCATAAGACAGTCATTTATCTTTAGGATATCATATAGTTTATCTTTAGGATATTATGAGATATTTGTTTTTCCTATTTTTCGTTTTTTCTTCATTGATTTTACATTTCAAAAAGCCATATTAATTATTGTACATCATATACAACTAAGATACAAATTTTGTTTCTTTCAACTTAGTATTAAAGCACCCAATCTCGGGAGCTGGATTTTCATTGCTTAATATATTGTGATTGTTCATTTTGTGGTTACATTCATCACACACTGTCGATGTGGTGCTGTTCATCACCCATTGTCCACATGTACTCTTCATGGATGAAGAGAAAATCATCACTTTGAGCCCTAATAACCTTCTAAATTTGGTGGGCTCTTATCAACCTAATGGTTGTAACTATCTACATTGCATGTCCAAAAGAGTGTATAAAGTTGAGCCACATTCAAAGAGATCATTCTCGTAGAAACAACACAAATTACAAAACGACTCACTCTGAAATTAGACAATTATCAGGGTGAAAGGGAAAATGTAGAAACTGACTTGTTTCAGCAGATCTGCCTCTGATGAATATGGTGACCAGCGCAACAGCAAGGATAAATTAGACATAAAATGCTCATTTCCATTTAATACTTTCAATGATTCAGTGAATGTATCAAATTCATAATTCACCTGAAATTGAAAAAGATGAGTTAGTGGAGTAAGTTGAAACTAATAGAAGCTTTTACCATAGAAAATTTATCAGGAGATGGATGTAGAGGTACCAAAACCTCCAACTAGTTAAAAATGAAAAATACCACTTACCATGGGCACTACAATTCTGTCAAGCTGTGTTTGTGTCAAATACGTATATGACAGAAGTCCAATGCTTTGAGTCAAAATCCTGTTCAGGACAGAAACAGTAAGAAAAAATAATAATTTGTTCCCCATCTAACCTCATACATTGTTAGCCTGCTGAAAAGCCTCCCTATCTTCCAGCCAAGAAATTAAGTGCAGCAATTAGTCAAAAAGGAAAAGGGGAATCCACTAAAGATCAATAATAATGAGCGTAAATAGAATGAATTAACATTAGAAAGCAGATTATTTCTATTTTTGAAAGACCTTATATCTTCACATTTCTCCGAGGTTATAAAAAGAAACGGAAAATAAAGGCGAATTTATTCTTTTTTTTTATAAATAAGAATTAGTTAAACAATACATGAACAAATACATCTGAGTGGGTATGGACTTCAAAAAATAAATAATCAATAATAATACCTGTCCTTTCTTCAACATAATAAAGTGACAGAAAATACAGCAGGCAACACATTGCCTTCACCATCTTTAGGGTAATGTTACATTCACTAGTAGATGCATACCTATTATTTAGATGGCAACTGAAGACTATGGCATCTGCACCAAGCCTCATAGTACTGGTCTTGAAGCCATTTCCATCTATAAGACGCAATTGAAAAATAAATATGAAAGGGAATATGAAAACAATAGCAGAAAAATAAGTCAAAATCCATACACCGTCCAATAGCAAACTGTGACTTCTTATCTGAAAATCCAAAACTCATGCAACGACGCATTGCCTCTGGATCCATTCCACCACCATCATCTAATTTCCAAGTGTTAGGATCAAATAAAAACAATTAGAATCACTGTATCGAGTGCAAATATGAAATATTCAGGCTACAAGTTTAAAGCCACAATAAAGATTCAAAAAAATATGTTCCTATATAAAGAATTCCAAAAGCAATATACCTTGAATCAACAACGCTGGACTCCCATCCCTTGGATTTGAAGTTTTATCTACAATGACAAAGGTAGCCCCACTTTGGATCTATCCTAAGAACAAATGTTCACAATGCAAAACAAATAGCAACAAAAATCAAATAAAAATATGTATTGGTGGCTTAAAAGATGGAAAAGGCATAAAACAATAACAGCAACAAACATTTATGTTTACAATTAGATACAATGTACTATATCACCAGGCATAGACAATAGCTTAGTACGCTGCAGATGACAAAAGAAAATGACAGGTAATGACATTTAAAATATCATGCAGTTCAATAGTTTAAACATCAAGAATAATAACCTCATCAACTGCATTATCAAGAAGCTCCGCTATGGCTGCAAACAGAAAAAAAAAAAAAAAAAAAAAAAAAGATCAGATCCTGGAAAAATATCACCAAAGGTGGTCAATTAAAATGGTCATAATAAGAGTCTATAAAGATGGTAAGAACATACCACCAAATGCCCACTTATGGGAAGTTGCATTTGAGTGAAGGAACATGGGGTGCACGTGTAGATAACTTTTAGCATCTGCAACCCAAAAAGCATAACAATGGAATAAGAACCCCATGTAAGTCAGGCAGGAAGAAAAATTATCAACAATTAAAGATGTATTTATATGGACTTGTACACAGAACAATGAGTAGAGGAGTTGCATCCATAGAACCAAATTAGAAACATATACTGATCTGACCAAAAAATTATATTGGATTACTTTGGACTGTGACTTTAGAACCAATCCTATCATCATAGTTTCCAGCTTTCCAAAACTGCCTGCACAAGGGTGCTGCACCAATGGGTGACACATAAGAAATGCCTGTGTCATCAACAGGCGATGGTCCCTGTTCCAATACACTGGAGTTACTATGACCTGTACTTGGACCAGTAGAACTTAGATTTTCTTCAGAATCTTGTCGAGTAGTATGACTTTGATATCTCTTATCCGTAACAAAATCTCCCTCCAACTTAACAGCTTTCAAACAAACTGTTTCACTTTCATCATCACTGGATAAATCCACAATTTCTGCAGGGCCCATATTTATCCCTATAACCACAGTAAATTATAAGAAAGCAGGTTAAGATGACAAAACAACAATGTAACGTAAAGTAACTAAAATGAGCCGGCAGATTCAATATGTAATACATAAATTATTAACATGCTTACATTACATTCAATACAACTTTAGACAGCTTAAAGTTGAAAAGGAATAATGTCAATGAGCTAAATTTTGAACCTAAGGCATAATCCACAAATAGCAGGGTAGGGAAGCATATATCTCTCAAAACAAGCATGATTAGTAAAATATTGATTAACCCGCATGATTAGTAGAAGCAAAATTTAACATCATTCGATTCGCCCCCAAAAAACCGTGGAGAATTAAACTCATTATACCAATCATGACCATCTCATATCTCTAGGCATAGCATGACAATATGTTTATAAAACCTACAACGTATTTTCATTGGAGGTTTAGCTTCAGTTGTAACTTGAACTTCAAGGAGAGAAAGTGTAGTCAAAGAAATCAAACTATGAAAACAGAAAATTACTTCCCAAAAGGAAAATGAGTAGACAACAACAGTAACAAACTGAAACACATTATCGGAAACGACAGAACTAACTAGGGCAATTTCGTTGCAGGAATAAAGTATAGAAGACAAAGAGAATATAGCGGTTAGGAGTTAGGGTTTTTCGTTTTGATGGAAGAAGGCACAGAAATGCTTACCAGAAATAGAAAAAGTGGAATGCGGAATTACAGAGATTTTTATGGAAAGGAATAGTGTGAGAAGAAGAGAGGGGGAAAAAGAAGAGAGAGGGAAAAAGAAGTGGCCGTGTTCGACGCGGCCGCAAGATTCAGTAACCAACCTCTCTCTTTCCGATTCCGATTTCCTTTTTTGTGATTTTGTTTTTCTCTTAAGTCTCTCCCGCGTTCACAGCTGCATCTGATTCCATATCTTTTTAATAGGTCATCATTAACAAACACTTAACTGTTTGTGATCGTGTTCAATTTTTAATTTACACTAGAGAAAAATACTACCTCAAGATGTGATTGTAAAAAAAGTAGAAAAATTATTATTCTAATTATTATTTATATTCATATATATATATATATATA